TTTAATTAATATAAAATAGCAATAAATAAATACAACAAGTAGTAGATTAATAGAGGCATTTTTTTTTTTTTTTTATAAAAGAAACCAATTACGATATAAAGACTAATTCCCACCTATCAAATTAATTGAACCCTATAAATAATAGCTCCCTTCTAGCTCTCCCTTTGTACTTTCTTAAAAGTATTGAGCTTCTACCTTGGGATACGAGTTTAACCTACAGTTTCTTAGTTTAAATTTATAAAAAGAGTTTTATTAAAAATTCTTTCAAATACAATAAAGGAAAACTTCTGGACGGTTAGGTAAGTATTAAACTTTTTGGCACACAATTAACTTTGTTTTATATATTTTATGAAACATCGACCTTTTTATTTTTTTCATTTTAAAAAGATAGTATAATTAGAGGTGTAATAATTGATCGAAATGAAGTTTCCGATATTCACTGAATATTCTACTACAAGGCAAAGTGCAAAAAAAAGGGGGTTTATTTTTTCGAGAACGATAAATTTGAAATGATTATTTTAATTAAAATATCAAAATCACAAAAAAAAAATTCGTTTTTAAAATATATTAAGCATTAGTATTAAAAATTCTTTAATATAGAAAGAGGAAAGCTTCTGAATAGTTAACTAAGTGTTAAACATTTTTACATTCAAGTAACTATGTTTCATATAATTTATGAGATATTGGCCTTTTTATTTTTTTATTTTATTTTTACAAAAGGTAGAGGAATTATTATAATCGATCGAAATATTGTTTTTGATATTTTGCTGATTTTTTTTTTTTTTAATAAAAATTAAAAACATTTTTTTTTTAACATTAGAACGATAAACGTGATTTAAAGTTTATTTTAATAAAATTATACCAAAATCATAAAAAAAATTTAAATATGTTAAACTGGTACTTGTTGAAATTAACAGGATGTCAAAGAATTGTTTAGTTAATAAAGGTAAAACAAATATTACAATATCTAATATTGGATAAAATATTGCAATATATCCAGTCATTTAGCATTCCACCACCTATTTTTTATTGACTTAGAGAAAGAATCTCCGTGTGATTTTCTAAGAACATTTTCTTTGTTTTGGAACGAAATATTATTTTGAGAAACATGGTTCTTGAAGGTAAATGTGCCCTGAATTCTTTAATTAGGACATGTCCGGCGAAGAGATTTACCAACTGTTGCCGTGCTAAATCTATTTAAATCTTCAAACGTAAATATAGAATAAGGAGGCACTGTAGCCACGCAACGGTAATGGCTCCGCAAGGGAATATATTTGACTCCAGAAGGGGAGTAACTCAACACTGCGAAATAAGACATTTATAACATAAATATATGTGTGTGTACATATATATATATATATATATACATATGTATATATATATATATATATATATATATATATATATAACGTTATCGTAGAGATAGTCTTTAATGCTTATTAAAAATAGTTAAGTATACCAGTTCAATTAACTATTTTTTTATCATAAACAAATAATTATTTATTCTATTTCATCTGCCATCTGCCAGATTCGAAGCCGGGATTTGAGCTCTGGAAGTTAGTGCCCTACCCATTGACCTCTCGGAACAAATATGGTGATACAATATAGAAATAGTATAAGTAAATAATTTTTTTTTTTTTTTTTTTTTTTTTTTATCCTTTGTCGATTACAGTGATCTGTTCCAAATAATAAAGCAAAACATGTGTAGATGATTCAATTAGCTGTATTTATGCGAAAAATAGTTCGATTAGCATCACTTTTTTTTTGCGTTTTGTTTAGCATTTGGAAACCTTTCAAACTCTATAACTGATTAGCACCATCAATGCTCATATAAAACTTTTTCTTCTCATCAAAACATTTTTCCTGATTTTTCTGGGATTTATGATTATTTTTGTTACCTGAAGAGGAATATTTTATTTTTTTATTTTAATGAAACTTACAACTGTATTACATGAAAAATATAAGTAAATGTGACATTGGTAACGTGACATGTACAACATGAAGAGAAACTACCCATTGGTAGAACTCAAATTAAAGTTCTATATTAGAAGGTCCCGAGGCTATCTTCTTTTCAGACGCCTCGTAGGGTAATCAGGGATCGAGGAGGAAGCAAGGTTTGAAACGAGAGGGTTCGGATGGTTCTGCAGTTTGTTATGGAAGGATAGATATGATGATGATTTTATTTGTGACAAAGTAAGGAGCGTTGAGGATTTTACGAAGGATTTTGGATTGTAAGGATTGGATACGAGAGGAATTCGATGGTTTAGTGGAGCCACAAAGCTCAAATCCGTAAGTCCAAAAAGGTGTTATTATTGTCAAATATATGAGTCGTTTGTAATTGATTGAAAGCTTAGAGCGTTTGTCTAGTAAGTGCTGCAGTAGTCGAAAACGTCGGGCGGTTTCCAGTCGTTTCAGTCTGGTATGAGGGTTCCAAGTGAGTCGTTTGTCCAGGTGGAGCCCTAGGTATCGGATTTGTTCGACAGGGACAAGAGGGCTATTGTTGAAAGATACTGTAGGACAGGAAGTCATAGGTTTACGACGAAGAGTGAAGGTAATTTAATGGGATTTATTGGAATTTATTTTAATCCTCCAGTTTTGACAGTATTTTTCAAGACTTCTGATGTTTGTTTGAAGAATTTGGGAGAAGAAGAATATAATCTTCAAACTGATAGCTCGATTCTTCATTTGATCTAGAATTAACAAACAATATGGCCAACCGATAAAAAAGCACCTTTGAGAAATAATATATAAGAATACTGATAATAAACTGATTACTGAGTTACTCATTTATACAAGGCATTCGCCCCTCACCATCCAATATTTCTTAAGTACTAGCTCATTCGTAATATAATTAATAGCATTTGTAAATGTTTTGTTAGTAATATTCGAAAATTTAAAAGAAAACAAATTGTAAGTTTCAACTTCGTGCCGCATGAGGTCACATTAACAAAATACATTTTTTCAATTTTCTTAGTAAACATTGGGGCCATTCATGCACTTTTTTTAAATGCTCAATGTGCTATCATAAGCAGTCACCACATATTTTGAATGAATGCTAAATAACCTGTCTGTGCTAACTAAAGTGTTATTAGTTATATTAAGGTTATGTCTGAACTGCAAAAAAATGTTGTGAGTTCTTAATTGATCTACTAACGTTTTGATTTATTTTTAAAATGCCAAAGCGATGTGAAAAGACTGAATTGTTGGATTATTTGGTTAGAAATGCTTTGTTAGAAAGCATGAATAAAGATTCAGATGATTCAGAAGGCAAAGAAATGGTTGAATATATAGACTAAATCCCCAGCTGTCTTTACATTCCATTTCTGTGGATATAGTACAAAAGAATTAAGCACATCAAAACCTTACAACAAACTTCTCTGTGCGTTTCCGAAGTTAGCAACATTAAAATCGAGAGTGCAGGCGGCCATATTTAACACACATTTCGTAAATAATTTTCTCGACTTTAAGAGTTTTACAATACTAAGCACTGGTTGCATGAATACCCCTAGTGTTTAATAATTCAGTAACTAAACAAAAAACAGTTTATTATACTGATAATGTTGATTGTATTGAGGCCATATTATATTTTAAATTATTCCAGTCCGTATTATTCTTCTATACTACTTGATAATAGTAAAGGTTGATTGGTCTCTCTATTAGTAAAGGGATGATTGATGATCGCTTACGTGTAGGCTTTGTTTGTTTCCAGTTCGCTGATTGACCTTCACCCTTTCACAGGCAAACGATTTTGCTTTGTCTCATCAAACCCAAACTAAAATCGGTCCTTCCATTATCGGCTAGTTTAAATATTCCTCATTATTATTTATATCTCAAGGACGGCATTAATCACTGAGATAAATACAAAACGTAATTTGTTATGTCTTTACTCATTTATTAATTTATTATTTATTTAGGCCTGATTTGTCTATTACCTCCATACTTTCAAAGAATAAGGTAAAAAAAAAAAAAACTAGGGTTTGTGCTTTAGGCCACAAGTGAAAACAACGACAAGGCGAGATTAATAATATGAAATATAAAAATAGCTCATTATAAAGAGGATGAAATGCTGAACATTTCCATCGCTTACAGTATGCAGGTCCGATTTTTAGTTTCTGAGATATTTTAATCCATATCTTCAATAAAACTCGTTATAATTTTTATTTCGGGACTATTTTTTTCTTTTCGCCTCTCTAACAAAGCGTCACGTTAAGATAAAATGTTGAATATTAGCTTGTTACAAAAAGCATTAAATACTAAACATTTCCATCTCTTACAGTATGCAGATCCGATTTTTAGTTTTTGAGATATTTTTATTCATATCTTCAATAAAACTAGTTATTATATGGTTTTCGCCACTAATTTTTCCCTTTTCGTTTCTCCAAGTTGGCGACGCGTTAATACACAATTTTGAGTAATAGCCCGTTACAAAGAGGATGAAATGATGAACATTTCCCTCGCTTACAATATGTAGGTCCTATTTTTAGTTTTTGAGATATTTTAATCCGTATGCAAAAACACTTCAATTAGCTGACTTTACCAGAGCGTTACACATCGAAGATCTGACGGCTCGATCTAATTCAGTTTCCACAAAACAAAGTGCCTAACGTGCCTAAAGAAGTCACTTCAAAAAGTCAAAATTTATTACATTTCTCGATTTGAGCACGGGGTAGGCAATACAGTACCCGCAATGAAGAATGGTTGTGCGGATTTAGATACGCCTATTAGAGACAGCTACCTACGTAGTCTAGAATATACCCAAATGTTTTGTTTGTATCTGTGCCCTGAAGGTAAAGGACACCAAGTACATTTATTATTAAATAATTTAATAAATTTAAAAAAATTTTAATAGCTCTAAGGATAATTGGCTCCCTGAACAAACATAAAAATGTGACTGGATGTTATTTACCTGAGGAGTACAGATTTAGTAACTAAGAAACACATTAAATAAGGATTAATTTTAGAATATTAGAATAATAGTTATGGTTATTGTGAATTGCCAGGGATCGCAACAGCTGGAGGACAAACGCAAGACCACAAGCCTGAGAGGTGGCTGTGGACCGGTGGAGGTATTGCTGCCAACATCACGCTCTGTTCGCTGGGCTGTTGGAAGAGCTTCGCCAACAATTACCTGCATTGGGCTGCCTTGGCAACCTGGGCCGTCCTCAATATCCAAGGTAAATTTCTATTTAAATAACCCTCCCTCAAAATTTGAGGTGTTACATTCCAGGATACGTAGAATTCGAAAATCCAATAATCAGTTTTTCCGCCGTCCACTTATCTTCTCCGAGACTAATGGACCGATTTTTTTCGAATTTTGATTTAAAGTCAGAGCTCACCCGAGAATGATCCTCTTAAATCGACATTACTGTCCTTTCAAGATGGCGGCTGAAAATGCTGTGTTACTATAGACTGTAACGCCTAAATGAATGTACCGATTTCAATGGAACATGGCTAAAGTCTTTTTGACGATGCCGTTTAAATTTATCTATATAGTATACTTCAACGTAAAGAAGCTGGAAAAAAAGTTACAAGATTTGGTAAAATTAGATTTCCGAATAACTCAAAAAGTACACACTTTTTGTTGGGTTGTATATTTATTTAAAAGTTTACGAATTTTCTAAAAAAAATAATTTTGAAATCGGACAATTTGTAGCAAAGATATGCTGTCTAGATATGTGTTATAAGTACTACTGCAAAGGTTTTGATTTATGTTTCTGTTTCTGATTTTTGAATGTGTTACTAAAGCAATGCTATTTTTTTTAGAAAATTACTAATGATGAAAAAAAAATGTTAATGCCAATAATAGGAATACCCTTTTATTTTTTTTCTTTATGTTACTAAGAAGGTAATGTTACATAAGATGTATAACTGTTTGGAAATAATAAACCATTGTGAATTTTTTTTTCTTCTACTGACTTTTTTTGCCCAAGTACTAGACCAAGACGAGTCTTTTGCATTTTAGATTTCTTTGATGAACTAAAGCAGTGTAAGCGGACAAGTAAAAATTTTTTTATGTCAGTGTATAAAATTCATTGCACTGTAACGTTGATAAAACTAGTTCGATTTAGACGATTCTTGTTTTCATAATTTTGTCGGAAATTTCATAACATTTTAAAAAATAACCGATTAAAATATGGATACTCTGTACTGAAGTGAACATCAGTTGAAAACTGATGAGAATGTATATTTTTTTAGTTAATTCCCAAAACATTTTTCTTTTTTTTTAATAACTTTTTTTCCTTGAAAAAGCACTACAAGTAATATAATATATTATGCCAATCAATTTGTATGCCCATTGTTAGATCATTTATATCTGCGTTCGATTAACCATAGACTTTATGTGGATTATCATTTTGGGAGTTTTCAATTGTTACTGCTTAAATAAGCTTTTAACATTTAAATAAAAATTTATTTACACTTATGAACGATGTTATTTCGAACTCTGGTGGCTATTTATTTTATTTTTAATCTTATATGTAATTCTTATTTTATATATTTATTTATTTTTACATTCCGCATCTACCCGAGCGGGTCATAAGCGACATTAGATGTACTTTAACTAGATGTTCAAATTTTATGTATTTTTATTGCGATTGGGTCAAATTTCCGATATGCAGTTGTCGACGGATCTATACGTTTCAGAGCCTCCTGAGTCCGAAAAACACATTTTTAGCCATTGGTCTGTCTGTGCCAAGATTTTCTCGGGAACTACTGAACCGATTTTGTTGCTTCTTTTTTTCTTGTGTAGGGTTTTGACTAGTGATGCATGTGACTATATAAAAATCGTTCATTTCGGACAACTATTAACGAAGTTACAGCTATTCAATTTCCAATGTAAGATTACGGATACAAATCCTGGTGTAACAAAGGGATGAATGAGAGAAAAAAGAAAACTAAGTGAAAATAAGAAAATCTGTTGCCTGCATCACACAAGCTTCACTATTTCCTCTACTTTTAACATAAATTATTGTTTGGCAAAATTAGGCTGTGGCAAAAAGTTTTTGATCAGCAATATTAGAGGGTATTGAAATTTTTAAACTGATCTACCTTAAGCCGGTTCACACTGCTTTAGTTTATCAAATAAATCGTACTCAAATCTTTTCTTTGATTTTCTTTTCAGGGAAATAAATGTAATTCAATTTTTGTAGTTTCTTTATGGACATATGTAAAGATATATAAACGTTTCTGAAATAGGTAGGAAAGTCTTGTGAGTGGACACACCAAATTTTATGAATTGAATTATATTTACAATTAGTATGTTCTCTTCATCATACGCAAGTGCTTCAGATATGGTGGAAGGTATATTGTGTTTTGGTCTGGTGTTCTATTTTTGTTTGGTGTATATTTAGTGTTTGACCCATGACTAAATTAAAAATTATGATACTTATAATTACTTTCAGTATTTTTATTTTACTAATTAATAATGTTTTGTATTATATTCACTCGTATTTTTTATATTAATATTCTTTTTTTTTTTGTATGAATTGAATTAAATATATCAGTAAATTGTTTTAAAGTTAACAAGGAGATACTATATAATGCAGATGAAAATCTATCTTGAAATGATATAATACTTTAAAATTGAATAAATCCTCTAATTATTATGGTAATTTATTTTTATTATATCCTAGAAAGGAAAATAAGTAATAAAGACAAAATTAAATGTGATAAAAGTGCTTTATATATGACAAAAGGCGTGAAATATTGGCACTATAGGAGGCGTTTATTTTTTACTGACCGGGCGAAGGCATTGGTGCCATTTATAAATGTTATCGTGTGGTCCAGTTTCATTTGAGCCAGCCGATGCTAGAGAATATGACAGCATTGTCTCAGCCGTCAACAATTGTCAATAGCAGTTTCATCACGATCATGTTCCAACAAACGGTCCAACAGCCGGTCCAACCGCTCTGCCATATTAAACCTGTTCCTTTATTATTTTAAATTTACAAATACTTTATTTTACAAATTCTTAATTTATTAATCTGGTGAAAAGGGATTTTTTAGATCAATCTTGATAGATATATGTATATACTTACATTATATTTAATAAATAAGAATAATTTAATTCATCGACGTTTCAAAATGTGCAAAAAAATAATATTTATATTTTTGACCGTTTCTCCTTTTCTACCAATTTATTCGTCATTTCTATATTTGTCGCAGTTACTAACTTTTAATAAATTTATTATAAAAAAAAAATACAAATTTTCAAAAGAGACAATTTTATTTTATTTATAATATAATACGGCATTTTTTTTTTTTCCGTAACTATCCCTTTACCGGCTGTCAGGAGCGATGTATTTTTATGAATGAGGTATCAAACGAAATAATATTAAATGGAACAGTGACAAATCATAATAACATCCACCCGAAATATCAGGATAACAGTTACGAATGAAAAGAAAATTTATTCGCGTATTACTTAAAAAGTAGGTAAACATTTTTTTCTTTATTAGACCAATTATTATTTGAAAATTTACTAAATTCCCTACAAAACGAAGAAAAGTAATGATGAAAATCGATTAGAAATTTTTAAATTAAAAACAATTTGAACCTATCCTAAGAGCAAAGTGGATTCAAATATTTTTTTTTTAAGGAGGAACGGCGTTGAGATTTGTATTTTGCATACCGAAGAACCCTCAAATACGAATTCTCATTCGTCTTAAAAATCACAAAAAGTTTGGTAACTTTAACATGCCTCCACCTATGTACACAAAATTCAACAGGAAATTACGATAACATAAACTACACGAAATAACACAAACCGGACTTCCCTAATTATTTTAATACTTGAGTTATAAAAGAAAAACGTGTTAGGAGATTTTATTTATTTGCACCTTATGGAGGTATTAGATCAAAAAGTTACTTATACGGTGAAGAGCAATAATTCAGCTTTCCTACGGTTGTACTCGCACTGATTTAGGAGAAAATCCTGAGAAGTTATGAATGTTTAAGTAAATTCCAGGGCTACGTAGACTACAGTAAACTGTACAAAATTTTGGTTAATTTTTATGAATTAACTATTTTTATTCGACCAAGAAAAGGAAAATGTATTCCTCCAACTGATAATATATTTCATTAACGTATTTCCGTGCTATAAAGTATCAGTTGTTTTCTGGTCAATATTTCATGCGAATTATTCGTATGGGCCAGCTAGTATACTATACTCTATATGATCTTCCTCCACTTCCCTCTTTCACGGGCGAGCATTCGCATTTTTCGAATTCTAATCCTTTTCAGGATCTCCTCGTCCTCGTCCATCCATCTCAGGCGTGTTCTTCCTTTGGCACTTCTTCCACCATGTTCTCTAGGCGTCCGTGCGACATGATGCAACCATCTGATTTGCTCACCCCTCACCAAACCCAGCTTATCATAGATCTCTTACAGCTCTTTATTGGTACGAATTCTCCTCTGCCCATGTCCACAGACCGGACCATAGACCCTGCGGAGATCCCTTCTCATCCATATGACCAGCTTCCTTTTTGGAACCTTATACATTCCTCAGACCTCAGAATCATAGGTTACGACTGGTCTTATGATTTTTTCAAACACCGTGATCATAATTTTATAATTTATTATTTTTCACAAAGCTAACTGGATCTATTCCCAGAGGTAAACCTTACTTTCAGTTCCTTACTTTTTTTTTTTGTAGTTCTAGTTCTTTTGCTGCTGTTTCAAATTGTTCGAGAGACCCTGCTGACGCTGTTTTATTTGTTGCCGTTAACGGGATCATCAGCATAAATCAGATGCGGTGTCATCCCGTTATAGGTAGCGCCGCCAGAATATGTCTGGATTAATATTTACATTTAAAGTATAAGTGAATTTCATGCATTAAAAGTAAGTCTCGTAATTGCGACAGGAGCGGAACTAAGCACCCATGGCAAGGCAGTTAACATAAGTGATTTTTGTTATTATTATCACAATTTCGGCAAATTTAGCTTTGTATTCTGGACACTGAAATGTTTTTCAAATTATGGCTTGGAAGCTGGTCAACATCTCTTTGACCAAAGAGACAGAGTTTATCAGGATATAACTGTTATAGAAAAAAATCTTCATGTTTTGCGATTAGGAGTACAATAATAGAATAGAAATCAGAAAAAAATCTCTCATGAATTGTTAGTCTGTAAGGAAATCGAATCGGTTAACCATTTTTATTCGGTTAATTTTAATGTTCCAGTTTTAACAGGTTATTTTTTTCATTGTCCAATTGTCGAGGGAAAATAACTGGACTTAAAAACAAGAAGTAATTTCTGAATAATATTTAAAAAATGTAAAATATAAGTATTAGAGTCAGAATCGAATAGGTGTTTTTAATAAAATCCATAATAACCATAAAAGAATAAGTCATAATTTTATCATAATAACCACCAATCCCGTTTCTGCTTACTAACAGATCTTCTTGTTTAGTCTCTGTTAAGCCATTTTTTTTTAAAGTAATTATATATACAGCTTTATTACAAAGCATTAAGATCGTATGTCGTAGCCTAATAAGCCTTGTAACCATTTCTTTTTTTCATACCAGTCTTCCTCTCGGAGTCTTCTTGCTACTATTGCCTGAGGAATTCCTTCCATCCATCTCTTTTTCGGTCGACCCTCTCTCTCCCTCTTTTCCGGTGGTTTTAAATTGCATAATTATTAAATTTTTACATGAAATTAATAATGTACGTAAATAATTAATTTCTTCACAATCTTGGCAGGAGTTCTCCAAGGTTCAATACTGATCCCTCTACTTTTACTTTACATTGAATACACTTACGATATACCTATTAACGATGAGATATTAACTTATGCAGACGATACAAAAGTTCTCACAAAACATCAAGAATCTACACAGGCCTCATTAACTTTACAGCATAACTTGTTTAAATTACAAAATTGGCTCAAGCTATGGAAAATTCTACTTAATCATGAGAAATTCAAACATGTAGCATTCACTCTTCAAAAAAATACCTGCCTCCAGTTCATATTGACCACAACCAAATTCCTCAAAGGACAAGGTACTTTATCTTGGACTTACCTTTGACAGAAGGAGGCATAGGACTCTCACATAAATTTTTATAAATCTTCAAAACTGAGACATAAACTTTGAACGGTTGTGACCGTTAATCTGTTATATTTCACACATAACCTCATCTTTACAACTAACGACAGAAATGCTATTAATAATGATTATAGAAATTTTTTACTGTCCAATTCTTCTTTCTGCAAAATTTATTGACTTTACCTAACATTTTTGTATTCATTTTAATGTTTGTATTCATTTAAGGTAATAAAATGTGTTAAATTGATCCTGAAGGAACGTAAAACAATCATAAACGTTCGTTCATTTGTTATCAATCGATCGTCAGTGAATTGCAAGGATACAGGCTCTCGCCTTGGATTGGATTGCCCATTTGATTATACAGTCCAACTTGGATAACTCTATACTCATGGGGCGGGTCCATCAAAACTGTTGGATTAATACTTTTCTGAGCCACGTTCGGCGGAGTACGCGTATGACGGACTAATCCTTGAGTTATACGACATCGAGTTACTATTTACATTGGATCGAATTTCAATTATTACGTTTCAATACATTAAACATAGAAACACAACTAGCTACCGCAGAGATTAGGTTTATCCCCCGGTTTTCTTATTTCATTATTTTCCTCGATATAGATTATGCAGTAATTATTCAATTTTATTTCAGCTATTTAGTCAGTCTTTAATTTTCTTCGACATTCAATAATTTAGCTTAGTAAAATTTGTTTAGATTAAATTTTATTTCCAATCAGTTTTTCAACCAAGCGTGTGCAATACCCATTTCCCACCTGTTTGCGTGAAGGGAAAAGCACCGTCAATTTTTCTTCATAAAGCTAGGGAAGTTCTGACAAATTATCGTTAGTGATCCGACCAGGCGAAATGTAATGAAGGATGGAAGGATATTAAGGGATATAGAGATTATATAAGGGTGTTTTGAGCATCCATCATACTAGATCAAACAGTTAGAACAGCTTAATTTAGGATCAGCTGAAACTGATACCGGAAACGACCTAGCCGATTAGCTTTAACAATGGCGACTTCATTCTTTCAACTCCAATATCCTGCTCTCCATTTATTTCCTAAAGTTGTTTTACTTTAAAAATTTTAATGAAAAGATTTAATATATTTTAAAAATTATATTGAGTATACACAAATGTATCATTAAATACATACACTTTAAGAGTTCTGAAATTCTGAGGCGATGAATACATTTCATAGTAAAGTTAAGGGTATTTTGCCTTGATGTTGAGAAAATGAGATTTGAACCAGAGCTTGAAATAGAAAAAAACTTTTATTTTTAAAATGTTTCGGAGTTATCAGAACTTTCATTGTCGATAGTTTTTCATTTCTTTTGGAATTGGAACTTCTCCCCTTGCAACGTTTCAAGAAAATATTTCACAAAACTCAATTTTTTTAAAAAAACTTTTATTTAAAAATTCTGTAAGTTTATTGTGTATACAATAAAACGAAATATTGTGTAGGGTGAGCAGCTCCGGCGTCAACGGACACAATTAAAAGTTCTTTGGGAGGATTTTTTTTTTTTTTTTTTTTCCTACCCCCCAGGAATTTCTTTATTACAAAATACAATATATAAATGTTATATATACATAATTTTTTTATTTCCTTTTATTGCCCAAGGGCATTTTAAGGTAAAAGGGCTATGCACGCTGTATGCGTACTTTGCATCTGTGGCCAGAGGCCTTTTATTTTACCATTGGACCTGGAGGGACCGCCCTGAATTGGGAGGATATTTCATTCGAATGGTATTTTTTATATTTTATTTGTTGATTTTCATTTTCAGGTATGTAGTAAAACCTCCCTGCGCAATTCCTGGACTCTAACAGAACTTCCTTACAAAAAAAAAAACAATAGGGAATCTGGGGAGGGGAGAGAGGGGGACTATAGGCCTATATTCTCTTGCCCCTTCTATCCCTCTCCCCTCCCCAAAAATGTAAAAATATTTTTTTATCATTGTTCAATATTTGTTTATCTGAGTGATCTAAGCTGAATACTTAAACAATCACAATATATTCTCTTTTTAAATTCCAGTCCGTATTAAATGTAAGAACGTATCAAAACAAAATGTAAGAAATTTATCTTTAAACGCATTATTGTTCCTGTAATAACTTTTTATTTTATTTATTAATTTTTGCCTTTAAATACCACTTCAAGATCATTATTTTTTTTCCGGGGTGATTACCACTGTTTAAAAAAAAAAAAATCAAGTCGCAAAACTAAATCCTGGATCCCTTACAGCAAAGTACTGAATCTAAAATCCTTCATGCGTTACAGTGGTATAGACATTTTTTCAACTTTTTGTATACACAATTTAACAAAAAACTTTTACTGATGGAGTTGAGTAGAAATAAGGTTTCTTTTCTTGATACATTTTTCTTCCTTTCTCTCAGGTATATACTATGCAAGTATGAAACATGAAAGGGCTTCAAAGAAAACAATACTGGCAGGTTTCATCTAAACCACCAAAGATTTTTTATATTTCATAGAAAAAAATGTTGTCCGCCTAACCTGTAGCTGCTATTGTGGACTGAGTGTTTTATTTGGTACACATAAACCATGTTCCGAAACCTTACAAAACAAAAAAAAAAGAAACAATAAAATCAGTCCATCTGTTCAACAGAAAATCATAGATACACTGACCAATGGCTAAAAATTAAGTTTTGGATTGACAGAAATCAAAATGCCTTTTTGTACTTAGTAACAGGTACTGCTTGGAGACAAGGAAGTTACAATAATTACGCATATTTACTTTAAACTATGATTTTAAAAATTGGTTCCTCTAATGCGTGTTCAGTTTTATAAAATTTAAATTAAGTATTAATAATAAAATAAATGATATCAATAGAAATGCTTCTTGAAATTTATTGTGAATGCCTCATAATTTTTTCTCTGGTAATTCTTATATTTGGTGAAAAAATAACTAATGGAATTAAGTAATGGTTTTGATCTTCAAACCAGGGGTTGAAACGTTTATGGAACCTTTTAAAGATCTCCATTTTAATAGTTTCTGCAGAATATTTTTGAAAATATTCAAATATTCAAAAATTTAAGATTTGTAAAACCTTTTCTTGAAACGTTGCAAGGGGAAAAGTTCTAGTTCTAAAAGAAATGAAAAACTATCAATAAAAGTTCTGATAACTCCAAAACATTTTAAAAATAAAAGTTTTTTTCCATTTCAAGCTCTGGTTCAAACCTCATTTTCTCAACATCCGCGAAAAAAATCCCTTATCTTTACTATGAAATTTATTCATCACCTCAGAATTTCAGAACTCTTAAAGTCCTTGGAGAGAAAAAAAAAATGAACTACACAGATAATGTAATATAAAATAAATAAAATATTTTCTGTTTGTTGAATCATAATTAGTTAATTAACAAATTAAGCCTATTCAAATCATTTAGACATAAATGATAACAAAAATAATTGTTTGTTTATTTAATTTAAATAAAATTAATTTTAATTTATAAAATCTATCAATTAACACTAAATCTCTTTGATCTGATCTAAAGAATTTAATTTCTAAATTTCATAAATATTCATTATAAAAATGTTACATTTGATGAAAATAGAAATTTGAGTCATATGTCATTAATTTAGTTCATGTTTGCATATTTGTTTCAGGTCTATTGGGCAAGTGCTATGGATTTTCCCCTCCTGAATATTTAGTATGGTATGTGTTGTTTATTATTTTTGTAACATACTCCATGCTGCCATTACCTCTTCGCTGGTCAATAACATCAGGATCTGTTACCTCAATTCTTCACATGATGATCACAACGACTGTTTTTCTACAGGCAGGAGAGGTGAGTTATTATATAGAATTACTCCAGATTTCTTTAGGCTTAGGTATAGCTAAGCTTATAAAATTAACTTATAAAAAAAAAAAGCAGTAACAATAATCAACTGCCGATTTCACCTGATTCAGCAAATTGAAGATCCTGCTAAATTTTAATATTGAATGAAATTTCAAATTATTTTTTATTAACACTACTAAACAAGACAATATAATGTCCAATAGAAAAAAATCTCAGAAATATTTAATTGCCTCAATCATCTTAATAATAATTGAATCAGTGAGTGCTGAAACCACTTCAGTCAAAAAAATGGGAAAAATCGTTTTAGTTGAAAAGAAGCCTAGAAAGCCAAGATATTGAATATTTCTGTAAATAGATGACGTCTTTTTTGTTCATTATTCATTGATTTTATTAAATAAAACTTGCACAAATAAAAATAACTTATTTCTCTGAAACAATTATAGTTAATAACAAATCAAATTCTTGATCAAAAAGGACCGCATTACTTAACTCTAAAAAAATTAGAAAATATTTGTATTTATTACATGGGCTGTTTTATTATTTTTTATTTTATAATGAATAAGTCATTATTAACAAAATAATTGGTCTGCATTGATGATGCATGTCAGTTTCTCACTGATCGTAAAACTAATAAATTTTAAATTATGTTTTTAGATGAAAAAATTATATATTAAAAAGTTAATAAATTCTTCTATAAAATGATTAGTCTTATCACAAGATAATATTTGGTATTTCTACATTATAAAGAAAACATAATTTTATTAAAATGTTTTTCTTTGGCCATATTAATTTTCTTAATAACTAATATTTATTTTTTTAGGGTTTTACTTGTTTGTTGAAACAACTATTCTCAACCTTTCTTATCTATGGCGCAGTTAATTTCACTGGAATGTATACTAAGTATCTAACAGATAGAAGCCAGAGGAAGGCATTCTTAGAAACTCATAGGTCAACTGAAACTAGATTTAAAACTCAAAAAGAAAATGAACAACAAGAAAAACTTCTCTTGTCAGGTATCTGGTTATACAGAATCCAAATTTCATATGAAAATACTGAAATGTTATTAGCCAATAATTCTGTATTCAAAGCCATTTAAACTATTCAGTCCTTAACGATCAACTGTGCTTTGTTGTTAAGTTATCCAACAGATCACATATTTTTGTTATTATCTAGAAAAGTTGTTTTGACTTTTAGGAGTCAAATTATTTTATCTGGAACTCATTTGTTACAATAGGAGAGAGGATTACAGATTCTTTCCTCAATCATTCAATGTTTAACCGTAAATAGAAGAGAAAAATTTTGGGCTTCTACCCAAGGTATCCTTATCAACTTAATACATTTTTTAGCAAAATGTAAGTAAGAATTAAAGTTATTTCTTTCAAATTTGAAATTTGATATGATAGTGAAGAAATTATTAACTGTTGATTTTGATAATGATTTTTAGTTGATTCTCATCTTGATATTTTTTTAATTTGTTAAACATGTACCTTTTGATAAAATAAAAATTTTTATATGTATTTAGAACTGTAACTTGTATAAAAAATAATCTCACCTAATGAGATTTGAAATTTTGGTTATTGTATTTTTTTGGAAATTTGATTGAGAAAAGCTATCTTCCAGTCAATCGTCACTCCATTCTGAGCCAAATGTCCATTATTATTTTTTTTTAAACCCGTATTTATTACTTTTACTATTAACTACTTATTATTAAATATTGCATAAGTCATCATATTATATACCGACATAAAATTATTATTCTGCATCGAGTACTTGCCATCAGAAAAATTAAAAAATGCGTTGAAGGTTCTATTTCTGACATTCATTAACAAAAACACAAGCAAACTAGTCTTGAAACATTCAGGCAGGTCTAAAAAACTCTTTTTTGTTAACTTATGTCTTCATCCACACCTGTCATAAGTAATGACTAAAAATCTATCAGAGAACTGACTCAGAAAACAAGGACCCGAGTTTTTTCCTCCTTGATCAGAAGAATACTCCTATTATTTGGCCTTGAAACGAAAGTGATTCAAGTTTACCATTTACAAATCATAACACAAAAATTAAATGAAATTAGAATGTAACAAATTTATATGGAGAGAAGAGTTTATGGAGATAATTTGAAATGATTTGTTTCGGAAGGAAGCATTATTTTTGAGATAATTTGGAGTGGAATTTATGGATGAATGTTTGTAACTAACAGTAAAACATGGAAGTGATTTGTTTATAGTTTGGAAGTGTGTTCAGGGATCTGGAGTTAGAAATCTGTTGCAAAACAGCCTTAAGCTGATTGGGCAGGAATTTATTTTTCAGTTAGATATCAAATAAAAATATAATATTTTGCTATACGCCTTGAAATAAAAGTAACATTAAATAGGAAACAAAAATAAATTGTGAAGTATGAAATGTTAAATTAAATTACTGAAAAAAAACAAAGGATTTCAATATTAGAAAAATTTTCATAGATACACTCAACTTCTGAACATTTACACAATGCTCTGGACGCTAACAATAAAAAGTAAAGACTAAAGTGGACAACAAAGTAATGAAATTTAAACAATAAGGTAGCATTATTCAGAGGACGAAAAAAACATCAATACAACGGATTGAACCCTTGGCTTGTTGTTGATTATAATGCTAATCTAAATATATACTACATCTGCAATGTCTAAGAGGTTAAATTAGTTTAAATTAAGAAGATAAAAACGATTGATTGATTTAAGAGTATCAAAAGATTTATCATTTATAAAAATCTGGTTTGTTTGAATACTTTTTCACAGTACTGTATATATATATATATATATATATATATATATATATATATCCTGTGTATAAAAATAAGATCCCGTGTTTCCAACCTTTATATCTCTTCCCATAGAACTGAGACATTTGAGTATTCCTTTATTGCCCTATAAATGAACTATCCTATAATAGTGTCAAATAAAATCATCTCTTGCCATTGTTGACAATGTGAAACAGCGCAAAAGCTGCATATGAAAAGAAGAAAATAATAAAAAGAGACTTGTTTACAAACCATCAGTTTCATGTTACTAGAAAAAATGGATTATAATTTGTGTGATCTACACTTCTTACCATTGCTCATTATTTTTGTATTTTATTTACTCATTTTTTTTGTCATTTATAATGAACATTTCGTTTGTAGTTCTGCCAGATTTTGTAGCAAGAGAGATGATTCGAGACATTGCAAGTGAATCTGAGCGGGGAGCATTCACACCACATCAGTTTCATCGAATTTACATTCACTGTTATGAGAATGTTAGCATTTTATTTGCAGACATCAAAGGCTTCACTGGTATGTGAAAATAATCTGGGAATTGATTTAGTATTATAATTTAATTATTTTTTAAACATTTTTATAAGTCATTCTTAAAGTTACAATAGCACCTTCTAAATTTCAACAATTAAATCATTTTCACTATTCAAAACCTTTTACATTTATGTATGTATAATTTAAAAATCAAGCTGTAACATATATTTGTTACATCTTGATTTTTAAATTGTTTACACAACCAATATGTATATTGGTATATTTAAAATATTTAATACATCTATCATCTTTATAATAGAGTGTCTAAAAAAATTACTGTTTTTCAACCAAATATTTATATAATTATTTCTTTGATATAAAATACAAAACCACTGTTATCTGCCGGCATTAGCCACCTGCTAGCCAATCGCTTGATCCTACGCTGATACCATTCTTTGGGATTGCTGTCAAAGAACTCTTGGACCACAATTTCAACTTCTGCAAAATTATCAAATTTTTCCCTTGAAGAAAATGGGCCATGGATCTAAATAATTAAATATATCACTCATTAATGTAGAATCTTTATTTTAGTGATTATCAATTGTTTGTTTGTGTATATAATTTCTTTTTTCTTTACTTAATGAAGCTGATAAATTGAATTATCTGACTTTTATGATTTTATTATATTAACTTTTTTATTATATTGCTTGACTTCAAAATTTAATTTTATGGATATTTTGGTAAATACTTTACAGCATGGGCAAGTCAAACAAGTGCTCAAGAATTAGTGAGGGTATTGAATGATCTCTTTGCGAAATTTGACAAACTGGCTTTGGTAATGTGTTACATCATTTTTTAACATTGAAAATCATTGTAATAAGTTTTCGTTTCTTAATTCAATTCTAATAAAATAATACAGGAAAATCATTGCCTAAGAATAAAGCTTCTTGGAGATTGCTATTACTGTGTTTCTGGATTGCCAGAAGAAAGACAAGACCATGCTTCTTGTTGTGTTGAGATGGGTCTCCACATGATTACCGCCATTCAAGATGTACGCAACAAGTTAAATGTAAGATTCGCTTAAATTATTAATTTATATTAATGAATATTATTATAAAATTATGTTGTATCCAAATAAAAATTTTAGATCAAACCAATATCATATAATTACATAGTTCTATTTCCCTCTAATTTTTAATTAGATTTATAATTTGCTCTAATTAATTAATTCCAAAGTGCAGTGTTAATAATTTCAATTATAAATAGGTTAGAGGTACAGCCTACATGTAGTTTTTATAAGTTTAATTATATAATTATAAAAAATTCACGTATGTTGTTTCTGAAATATCAGATTCAATTATTCTGCAAATGTTTTATTTGATAACATGAAAAAAAGTTCAAAACCTGAATACAACATCCTAAATTTATCTCCATTAAATTTTATTTTCATACACTGTTTGTTGGGGCACACTGGGAAAGAACAGCATTTGGTATAACTAATTGTAAACTTCTAAGAAATCTATATAAACTGAGACGCCATGGTGTGTACATCGGTGTAATTCGTTCATATAATAGACTCAGTTTACTTTAATTTAATTTTCAGTTTAGTTAAGTTCAGTTTTTTTTTTCTTCTCTTTTTTAAAAAAAAACACTATTATTAATCACGCTATTAAGTGTCGGATCTTCACAATAATCGGAGTAAAGAAAACGCAGCGAGATTGATAGAGTTCTGGGAGCAACGAGCTGGCAGGCGTCTATTAATCCTAACAGCATTAGACCAGCATTAGACGTTGTTTACTACCGTCAACAGTCCTGGTATTTATTTATATTTTAATTGCGAAGTAATTATCATTAATAAATTTAAAAAATGGTGCAGTGTAATATTTGCAACAACTCTATCGCACGCGAAGATAAGAACAATATACACTGCGTTAAGTGTAAAATAATTTTTCATGGTAGGTGCGTCAACCTTAATGATAAAGACACCGAAGCATTAAAAATAATTAAAAAAACATGGGTTTGCTCTAACTGCGAACAGGTGAAAAAACAAAATACCGAGCCGTCCCCCTCAGAAATACTTGCGGCAGTAAATCGTTTAGACGCTACCGTGAACGAAGATATAAAAAACATGAAAACAGCACTAGATAAATACGGAGAGCTCAGTTTTGAACTAAACGAAAGACTGACGAAGATTGAAAAACATCTGGAAGGTCAAGCTAAAAAGTTTGAGGAGATACTATTAGAAAACAAAGCACTCAAATCCCGAGTGGGCGAATTAGAGGTTCGCTTGAATAACGCAGAGCAAGGACTATTGAGTAGATCACTGGAGATCCGCGGTATACCGGAGCGACCGGGCGAAACGCCCGCTGCTTTGGTGACCAGTATAGGAGCAAGCTTGGGGATCAGGCTTAGTGTGGAGGACCTGGACAACGTACATCGCCGCAGAAGCCGAAAAGATGACTCGCGACCACCGCCTGTTATCGCACGCTTTGTCAGGCAATCAATTAGAGATGATCTAATTACGAAAAGGAAAGTGAAGAGGGATTTCTCCACGCGGGATATCGGTTGGCAGGAAAATGACTGCCACCGAATTTATCTGGGTGAAGAGATGACTCGCACAAACAGACACCTCTATTGGCTAGCCCGGCAGAAGAGAGCGGCGGGAAAAATCAAATATACGTGGTTTGCTTCCGGAAAGGTGCGGTGTCGAAAAGAGGACGGACATAGAGTCATCCTGATAGAACAGGCCTCGGATCTAGATGTATTTGACTGACTACCTAGAAGCCGTCAACCCCTTAGCCTCATTAAAATAGTCTTACTTCTTCTCTTAGTGCTATCTCTACACCGTCACTCATCAATCTATTTATTTTCAAGTACATTCTCTTTATTTATTTTTAATGTTAATATTACTTTTTCTTCACTTAGTTTCATGTACGATAATCGCTTTTCTGTACTTTCTACTCGTTTTGTCTTCTCGCTACCAAACACTGACTGTTTCTCTCCAAATCCACTGTATGTCTAGTTCCCTAATCACATGTCAAGTTAACTCTCAATCACTTTCTGCCCATTATGACGAATTCCTGCAATACTTTACCCAAAACTTTTATCATATCATAGCAATATCCGAAACCTGGCTCAAACCTTATATTCCATCATCTTCAGTCTCCTTGCCTAATTACATCCTGCTCCGTCATGACCGGGTAAACCGGACTGGCGGTGGAGTAGCCATGTTTGTCCACAATAGCCTAAAGACCCGAATCCTCGATTGCTCCCCATCTTCCGATCATCCTCATGTAGAATACCTCTTAGTAGAAATTCTCAGTAATATTTCTCCTATCCTTTACGCCGTGGTATATCGCCCTCCTCTCGTGCCATTTGACCCGTCCTTCGAATCAACTCTATTCAACTTCGTTCCCCTCTATCCCAGAATAATTATCTCCGGTGACCTCAATACCAATTTCCTCTCAAACTCCAATGACAAATCCTATTTAGAAAATCTGTTTTTCTCACTTCACCTATTCATCGTTCCTTTTTCCTCCACCCACCACACCACCAGATCTGACACTTGGCTAGACTACTACATCATCGACTCAGCACAAAACCTCCTCTCCGCCTCTCAATTGCCAGTATCCTTTCTTTCATCTCATGATCTGATACAAATAACGTATAATATCCGCACTCCTCCAATCCATCCTCGAACTATCACTTTCCGCCAACTGGATACCCTTACTCGAGAAAAAATATTACCTGATCTAGTAACATTGGATTTGAATGGAATATATCATTGCTCCTCTGTCGACACCATGGTTGATATTCTCACCACCAATCTTCTCAATATACTCAATACCCACGCTCCTCTGAAAACCTCCACTTTCCGTCATCGTCCTGCTCCTTGGATGTGTCAGGAAATTAAGGATCTGCAGAAGAGACGCGACGCTGCACGCAGACGCTTCAGACGGACTAGGCTTGCAGATGATTATCAAATATTCAGAGTGCTTCGTAACACGACACAGACAAGGATCCGACAAGCGAAAGCGAACTACTTTCACGAAGCCCTTTCCTCAGCTCCTGATATCAAATCAAAATGGCTTCTACTTCGTAAGCTTTCCCTCTGTGAACCTTCTAGATCCCCTTCCTCAGTTTTCCCAATATCACCTGATGACCTAAACTCCCACTTTATATCGGTTTCCACCTCTTCTTTACCATCCCCTTCCGGCTTTTCTCCAGAGGTACCTTTTAACGACAATAATTTTTATTTTTCCGACATTTCTCCCACAGACCTTATTACCGTTATAATGAAATCCCGTTCCAATTCCGTAGGCCCAGATGGCATTCCTATCAAACTAATAAAATTATGTCTCCCTGAAATCCTCCCAGCACTCCTTTTCATCTACAATTTCTCCCTGCAGAATTCAATATTCCCGACCTCTTGGAAAAAAGCCATTGTCCTTCCTTTAAACAAAAAGCCTAATCCATCCTCTCCCGAAGATTTCCGCCCAATATCAATCCTTTCCAATCTTTCTAAACCCCTAGAAAAGTTAGTGCAATCCCAAGTTTCCAACTACCTTGAACAATCCAACCAACTCGATCCTCTCCAATCTGGCTTCCGTCCTGGCTACTCTACACAATCTGCTCTGATTAAAATTACTAGTGATATCCAGACTGCAATAGATGACAAAAAACTAACCATACTTATACTGCTTGATTTCTCCAAAGCTTTCGATTCCATTATCCATTCCATCCTTTTCAACAAACTAAAATCATTATCCTTCTCCAATAGTTCCATCTCTTGGTTCCAGTCTTTCCTCTCACAACGAACCCAAGCAGTTTCCATACCTAATCAACCTCTATCTGCCTACCTTCCTTTATCCTCAGGAGTTGCACAGGGTTCAAGCATGTCTCCTCTTCTTTTCAGTTCTTATATTAATGACCTAAATGATTCAATTATCCATTGTTCCCACCACCTTTATGCCGACGATTCTCAAATCTATTTATCCTTTTCTCCCGCTGAGTTATTGGTGGCATTTGCCAAAATTCAAGAAGATTTAGATCGAATTAGTGCCTGGGCCAACTTAAATGGATTAAGGCTAAATGCTGCCAAAACTCAGGCCATTCTCATTGGTTCCAAGCCCCTTCTTAGATCCCACACCAACTTTCCCTCACTCTATCTAAACAACCACCCCATCACCTTCTATCCCTTTGTTAAAAATTTAGGCTTTCTCATAGATCAAACCCTTTCCTGGAATCACCATATCTCTCATATATCCCGCCGTGCAATTTCTACCCTCAAACTATTCCATCACTTCCGCCATCTTCTACCCCAAAATACCCGTAGACTCATAGTTTCCTCTCTCATCTTTCCCCACTTTGACTACAGCTGTGTGGTGTACGATGGCCTCTCGGTGGAACTGCGTGATAGACTCAAAAGACTTATGAATTGCTTCGTAAGATTTGTAATTGGAACCCCGAGACGCTCCCGTGTCTCCCACCACTACACTGAGTTAGGGTGGCTCTTCCCCTCCTTAAGAAGACAATATTTCCTTGGCACTTTCCTTTATCAAATCATTACCGATCATCGTCCTTCTTATGCCTACAACCTTCTCCAATTTAAGTCCTCAATCCATTCACTCACTACAAGATCCCGACCCTCTGACCTATACATCCCTTCTCATAGATCTGCCTCATTCCAAAATTCCTTTATAGCCCGCTCTGTCAACTTTTGGAATTCCCTCCCGATCAAAATTCGACATGCCCCTTCCCTGTATACATTCAAAAACCTCCTATTCCAATTCCTGTTCCAAAAACAGTCTGATACCAGCTAACTATTGATATTATATATGTATTGTGTAGCAATCATATAATCATAACACTTGGTAAGAGATAGTACATGCATTTCCTACTATCGACGTAGGAATTTCAATACATACATTTTTTTTTATTTTTTTTTTATTCAATTATAAGTAACTGTTTATTTTTATATATATATTCAAGTAAAGTTTTTTTTTTTTTTTATGAAATGAACTCATTGTATCTCTTTTTCGTTCTTCATTTCTCAAAGTGTATGTTTATGTTGTTCAACCCTTAAATATAATTTTGTTCATAGTTCAAGTGATTCGTTCATAGTTTTAATTGTTTTGTTCATAATTTTAAATGCTCTGTGCATAGTTTTATCTGTTTGTATATAGCTTGTGCACCTAAGATTTTCTTTACTTTTTATTTTATTTTATCAATTTTATTTATTGTTTCAACGTTCAGGCCAGTAATATTCTATTATTTTGTACATTATTGTTATTCTGAAGGGACTTAGTCCCAGAATAAAGTTTTTTTTTCTATCTATCTATCTATCTATATTTAAATTCAAGAATGTATATTTATTCTGAATAAATAAATATTTATACTGAAAAAATAAATTAGAACTAGTTAAACATTAAAACCCAATAAGTCATTGTTAGTAAATTTAACAATTTAAGTTCCTATTAAATATTTTACTTTCAGGTTGATTTGAACATGAGAATAGGAATTCACTCAGGTTCGGTTCTTTGTGGAGTACTTGGCCTGAGGAAATGGCAGTTTGACGTTTGGTCCTATGATGTGACATTAGCAAATCACATGGAGTCTGGTGGTATTCCTGGGTTAGAAATCTTAAATTTTAGGAAATCAATAAAAAAAAATATTAACTATTGCATATTTTTGTTTTTAATTTAAAATGTTGAAATACATTATTTCAGGAGAGTACATATCTCAAAAGCAACATTAGCATGCCTAAATAATCAGTACGAGGTAGAACCGGGATATGGTGAGACTCGTGACTCCTATTTGAAAGTAAATATTTATACTCTTAAACAATTAACATTTAATAAACAATTAAAAATTGTTTAATTTGAGATTAATTGATTGCGCTATTGACTCTTATTAGTCATATGAGATTGGAAACATGAATGCTTCCTTACAAAATAAATGATCACTGATTACATTAGACTTGGTGATATTTTTCAATTATAATAAAATCTAAATTTTAATAAATATATATTAAATATGTATGTCTTTAAATAAAATTTCTTTTATCCTCTATTACTTTATTATGCTATTTTTTATAAGCCATGAATAAATGATAACTCTCTAAATTATACTTGCTAGTATGTGGCCACAATTAATTTAAAATTTTAGATTTCTTCTGTAAAATTATCATTTTAACAGTCAGATTAAAATCTTCTCTAGAAAATTTTGTTTGAAAAATTTAAAGTAAAATATAATTTATAAATAAAATTCATATTTCTTTATGACAATAATCATTTAATGAGAGTTTTTGTCAACTATATAATAATATTAAATTATTATATGAATAAATGTTTAATTATTTATATATAAGTAAATAAACAATATTAAAAATAATTTAGTTACTACCACAATATTTGTCTCTTATTACTTTAACTAGGAACATGAAGTAGAAACATTTTTGATAAAACAACAAGCACCATCTAAACCTCACACAGTCCAGCGTGAAATATCTCGTACTAGGTTATGGTCTGAAGGTGATCAAACATTGATAACAGTACAGCAATTTACAAATAGCAGTAAGCTTCTAATTAATTGTATTTCATTATTATTTGTAATTTATTTGTTGAAAGAAAAATTAAGTTTTTTTAACTGTGATTTTTAGAAAAGAAAAAGCAAATGGATAGTAATGGTAATCATGGTAATCACACAGCAGAAAGTTATACTGAAGATTGGACTCCGGAAATCCCCTTTGAAAATGTGAATAATATACTCATTTTATGTTACTGTTTGTTAGTTTTTTGTTGTTATTTTTTTTTACTGTTCCAATTTTTTCTAGTTAAGTGCAACTGGACCAGAACAAGAACGAAGTGAAACTGAAAAAGAAGGAAACCCTGTTAATCTGAGTTCAGCTGAAGAAGCTGATGTTATTATGGACCATTGCATTGAGATAGAAAGCAATCAACGGATGAGGAAAGAAAATATTAGTATGTGGACACTAAGATTTAAACAGCCTAAAATGGAAGAAGAGGTCGAAACCAATTTCAGATTTTTTTTTTTTCAAATTTAGCTTTTCTTAATATTAACTGTTTTGTTTTAATGTTTATTCCTCATTTTTAGTTTACTCCTTTTGTGTTTATTTACTTTACTTTTTTTATTATTATTACATTGCTAAATGTTAATGTTCTCTTATTTTAAAGATTAATATCAACATTTACCAAACTCAATACCATCTTTCCTTATTAAAATAAATTGTTGATATGTTGAAATACAGGGTGTACCATAAATATAGGGTAATATTTAATCAAGTAACAGTAGACCTCAAGAGTTATCAAAAACTTGGTATTAGCAATGATCCGATTTTTGGCCAAATAGTTTTGTGTTTTTTTAAGTCATGGTTTTTGATGATTAGAAAGTGATAACTACAACATAATTTAATATATTTAAATACAAATTGATTCATTGTAAACTTAATATATAGGTTCGTAATATATAACTTCATTAAAAAATAATATATAGGTATCGATAAAATCGTTACATCTACTACTAGGTCGAGTTAGCTAGTCGAATTTTCTTAATCAATTTTAGTTTACACATATTATTCATTCATTTAGCTTATTTATTATTGATTTTAATTGTTTTTTGCCTCATATTATTGGGAGGGGAGAACGATATTCTCGCCCCCCAACATTTTTATTGGGCGAAGTGGAGGGGGAGGGAGGATCGCCTATAAAATATTTCTTGTCACTTTATGATATTCTCGATCACCACCAGGAACATTGGCTTCTTGATTTACCATACAGTCAACTGTATTGAAACATTATGTAATTTATTTTTATAGTTCTGCCAATTGAGAGAGGATATGTTCAAATCAAACATGCTCATTTGCTACATTATTTGGCTGTTTATTGTAGCATGTCAAGCGATAATTCTACCTAAGTGAGTTTTAATTTTCTGTTTTCACAACTGAAAGAAATTTTTGTACTTGATTAATGCTTCAATTTATAAGGTAAACAGTTTTTCTTTTCAGATGTCAACTCCTGCTAGGATTCGTTATTTTTTCTACTGTACTTTTAACTAGTGCTGTTCTTCTTGTTATGGCAGAAGAGTTACCAAAGCTTCCTCATCATCTTCAACACATGTCAGCTGTTTTAGTTCACAACAAATTTCGAAGAACACTGTTCATTTTAGGTTTTCTAATTATAATGTGTGCTGCTTCAACACTAACATTGGTACATGATTTTCAATTTTTATATTTAATATATTAATTTATTTATGAAAATGGCCTTGATTTCTTTTTTGAAAAATATAGACTGAGTATATAGTCTCTTTATAGACAGAGTACTCTAGAAAGAGATTTACACGGTTTTTGAACATTAGTAACTCAAACAAATATAACAAAATATGATTTACTTTTAAATCACCTGATGATCTGATCATTCATCACTGACAGTTCTTTGCCTCATAAACTTGTTGATTATTTTATATATTGGGTTGTTCAGAAAATAATGCAGGATTTTGAGTTTTCTTTAAAATACTCCTCTATATAACAAACCGTTTACGTGTACTGGATTATTCATTTGCATGAATGTCAACACTTATTAACCCTCTTCCAAATGATAATATTTGTCTACCTCTGTAGCATTTTGCTACTTAGAAATAATTCAGTTTTTACTATGATGTCAACTCGTGATTTTTGTATAATTTTGTTTTAATGTTTAATTTGTGTTGAAACTAGACCGGATTGGGGTAAATACGGTCAGAAACATCAATCAAGTCTGGAGCAACAGCAGCATTAATGAGCGCACTGTTCAATGGTGGTTCAAAAAATTTCAGGAACGAGACTTCAGCCTTGAAGACAAAGAAGGTCGTGAAAAGACTTCCTCTCTTGATGATGATGTTATGCGGGTCTTGGTGGAAGAAAACACCAGAACAACTGTTCCAGAATCTGCAGAGAAACTTAACCTTAGCAAATCGACCATCAAGGCGAAAGGTAAAAAATCTGGAAAGTGGGGTTCCACACACATTAAACAACCGCCAAACAAAATCAGCATTATGAAGTTTGTGCTACACTTCTTTGCTGAAATAAAAACGACCCTTTTCTGTCCAGAATTGTTATTTGTGATGAAAAGTGGATCTTTTTCAATAACAGTAGAGCTTCTGGACAGTAGGTCAACAAAGGAGAAGCAACAGAAGATTTTCCAAATACACAATCCATCAAAACACAGTGATGGTTACTGTTTGGTGGGCTTCATTTATTTTGATATACTACAGCTTCTTAAATCATGGAGAAACCATCAATGCCAAATCATATTGTAACCAAATTAATGCAATGCATCAGAAGTTGGCAATAACGAAGGCATCATTGGTCAATCGGAAGCCTTACTGTCTTACTTGTGACATCACAAAAACTGTTGAAGCCTGAATATGAAATTCTGCCACATCTGCCCTACTCACCAGACCTCTCGTCCACGGATTATCATTTTTTTAGACACCTGTAGCAATACTTACGTGACAAAAAATTTAATGGACAAAGAGAATTAGAAAATACATTTTTGGGATTTATCAATTCTAATTAGAAATTTTATTTCGAGGGAATGGAAAAGTTGCCAACATGTTGGCATAAATGTCTTAATAGTAGTGGAGACTATTTTGATTAAATAAAACAGTTGTAAATCTTTCTTTTTTTCTTTTTAAACCAAAATCTTGCATTATTTTCCAGACAACCGAATGCATATATTTCTTTTAAAAAATGGTTTATTATAGATATATTATTAATCAGGTCTAATCTAGACCCTCCACCCAGAAGCATGGTCACTGGAAATTCAGACCTCATCTCCTCTACTCTTCTCTCTGATAGAACCAGGAAAGAAGCACTAATCATAACAGATCCTGACAAAAGTTTATTGGAATTATCTGTTACTGTTCCTCTTTTTTTTTTGCATACAAACTGTGTTAATCCATTTGTGAAACAGCTTGTATTTAATGAATACCTAATCACTTTTCATTATGGTTGGAATGAAATGAATTCTTTTTAATATAAATATAAATATTTCATATTATCATACGATAAAATTATTATTGAAAAAAATTTTATTCCAGGTTGTATTACCAGACCATCTTGTTATCAAAGATGACATGAATACTACTTCTCTTGGGATAAACAGAACAAACTGTACCATGTGTGATGATAAATTTATGAAAAGACTTAATCGCCATATTAAAACATCTCATATAAATAAGACTAATTTTAACAAACTTTACCCACCCCTTATTATGACTTCAGATGATATTTACGATGATGAATGGTTACCAATCCATGTTAATGATATCAATAAACATCACCATTTGAACAGTAAAAAAATAAAAAATAACAGTATGCATTCTACTCACCACAGAAGATTTAAAAGAAATATGATGTCAAATTTAAAAAGTGATTTTGAAGAACCTTCAACAGATGATATCTATCTCATTGCTTGTATTCATGTTGAATACATGGTATTTACTTGGGTGTTATGTTTAATCGCTCTGGCAACCACCCTCAAAGTTTATTTTTTGGTTAAAACTGCTCTTGCTTTGGTAATGGTTGGAAGTTTTGCCACATTAATTGTTTTTTTGTATCCTGAAGTTTTCAAACAAAAGGAGTTAGAAAAACAGTAAGTAAGCTCAGTAAAAATAGTAAAATTAATTTGGAAGTCATTAAACTTAATGCAATATTTTAATAATACAATATCTTTTTTCAGCCTCAATATGCCATTTTCAGCACAGATGCTGTTAATGCTTTCTATATTTTTTACATTAGTTGCCTATCATGCAAGACTTGTAGAAATCACTTCAAGGCTTGATTTTTTATGGAAACTCGATGCACAAAGAGAACTTGCAGAAATGAGGGAAACCAGAAAAAATAATCGGCAGTTATTACGGAATATATTGCCTGATCATGTTGCCCAACACTTCCTTAATGATCGTTTAGCTGATGTAAGTATTATCTTCCCATATTCTGTAAACCATTTTTGGGTTCTTGTGACTTAGCCGGTCGCCACGGAACCTACCTCCTAATCTCATATAACCTCTTCTTATCACTCCTCTTTGCTTAGTCACTTGTACATTCTATACAGATGAGCTAAAAAAAATTGGAGAGCCTTGAAAAGTGGTTGAAATAAACGAAAATTTTTTTCCTAAAAGAAAAAATCATCTGAGGAAAATTCTCTCTGAACTATGGATGTTCGGCGGAGTTTATTGAGAAACAGGGGAGTGTTTCAATGTAAAAATAAATGACAGAAAAGCAACAACTTTATTACAATTTATTAAAAATAATATAGAAGAGAGAACGATGATATATTCTGACTATTGAAAAGGATATAAGACCCAACAACTAAATGAAGCAAACTACAACCATTTCCAAGTGAATCACTGATAAAACTTTGTTGATCCTTTAAGTGGGGTCCATACCCATCGCATAGAATGATTATGGGGCTCAGCTAAGTGGAGGAATAAAAAACATCGAGGGCCTGCTAGGCAACACCTGGATTCATATTTATGTGAATTTTTGTGGCAGCGGGTCTACAGAGAAGAGTTATGTTAAATAACAATAAACTATTTTGTCTCCCAAAATAAATAAAGTGTTGTAAAATAAAAGTGTTTTGTTAATATTAAATTTCTTTTTGTCTATTTCAATTTCCATGAATATAAATAAGAAGGTAGGTATTATCAGTATGAGAATTATCAGTGTTCAGATTATAAACAATGGCAGATAGCACTCCGTGGCGGCTAAATCACAAGTACCCATTTTTGTATTGTGTGTATTGAATCAATCTTGATAATATATTTTATAATGTCAGTTTTAACCTTCCCTAAAATCTATGGTTTGAATAATCATTTATGAGTTCTGAATGGTGTGGTAGAGGCCTGTAGGTACTTACGCCAGTACCGCTTTTCTTCTTTTTTTCTTCAAATTTTTAAAAAATAATAAGCGTTTTAGAAAGAGAAATATATTCTACAGATGTTTTATTTCAGCACGTTTTGCATTATTGTTGGCCGTTTAATTACAAACGACTCTTGATTTGTAACTTGAAAATTTTTTTGTTAAAAAAATTGACTTTACTGGTATTTTTCATAGCCTAAGCCAATTATTTTTTAATATTTCTTCATGTTTTATTATTCTATAACTATTCAGCTTTAATAAAAGACCAACTATGAGGAAATCAAGCCAAATGCTGATTCTCAGTGACCAAAAAACTAACTAAAGTCAAATTCATCAGTCCACCATATTTGGATACCATTTTTGGGCAGTGTGTTCACTTTTTTTTGTGGGAACATTGGCTTTTTTTTTTAATAAATAGTAACAAGGAACACAATGATATGCAATTTATAGGGATGTGAGGGGGGGGAGGGGTCTGGCCCATAGACTATTATGGGAAGAGCACTCACTACTTAGTAAAAAAAGCAACAATGTGTCACAAACCAAGGCTGTCAATTAATTGGGCTTTGGTTCGGAAGTAGAGGAGCAATTTCACTTTCAACTACAATTTTTTGGAGAAAGCTGTGTGTTGAAAGGAATAGATACAAAGTATGGCAGAATATATTATTTTAGGCTTACTGGCAATCATGCGCCATTACCTATATTAATTTTGACTATTGCTTAATGGATCCAGGAGATACGCTTGAGAATAATGAGGATCAGAAGAGAAAAAAAACAATAAAAAATGACATTTTTATATTAAAAGCATTTGGTATTTGGAATGAAAGTCCTGTAAAATATTCTGTATTCTTTTACTAGATATTGTCAATTAGATGAAGCAGTATGTTGTATCAGCAACTGAACACAGTTGATCAGCGTGACAATTTTTTTAAATGCTTTTTTTTTTAATCTTCAATCAATTATAAGATATGCCTTCATAAAATGGTTCAGAAAGCTAAAATTTGTTGGTTTTTAATATATTTTTAATGTAGTTAATTTGTTTTCCTAACAGGAACTATATTCTCAATCAAGAGACAAAGTTGGAGTTATGTTTGCCACCATTCCAAATTTTACTGAATTTTATTCTGAAGACGTTAACAAAGGAATGGAATGCATTCGTCTTTTGAATGAAATTATCGGTAATATTTTAATTAACTATTAATCTATCCATCATTTTATTTGTTAATGCAAATATGTAACAATATATTTTTATTATCTTGATTATCAGTTGACTTTGATGAACTATTATCTGAAGCAAGATTTAGCTCAATTGAAAAAATTAAAACTGTCGGAGCATCTTATATGGCTGCTTCAGGATTGAATCCAATTCATGAGGTATAGTTAATTATAGTTATACCAAGAATTATCTGATTTATAAATTAATAGTTATATTTTTGTTGCCTGATAAATTTCCCCATAACTTTTCTTCCTTTTTTTTTTTTTAAGACAGAAGATGAATATGCCCATGTTTGCTCATTGGTTGATTTTGGCTTAGCCATGAAACAATCTCTAGAAGCCATTAATAAGCATTCTTTCAATAATTTTCATCTGCGGATTGGTAAGAACAATATGAGTATCAAGTTATTTTATTGAAATTTATAAGGTATTTATAAGGTAAATATAAATTTATAAGGTTTTCAATAATAAACTTTCAGAGGTTGGTTCTATTTCTAACTGTAAAGAAAAAAAATCATCGAAACATAGTCTTGTTATCAATAATTTAATGATATTTTAAGATTTATTTTAATTTTCATCCAAAAAAATTATGTCCAAAAATGATTTTCATCATCCAAAAAAATTATTTTTTATTATTCCTTGGATAAGATTTGATTAAATAAGTAATTTTGTCTCTCCAGCAACAAAAAAATAAATACAAATAATTATAAATAGCATTCAGTTTAATTTTAAAGGTAATAATTAGAGACCAGATTGTACCAGACCAGATTTAATCTCTTGCATGCAAAAACTTCAAACCCAATGATGAATTCATTAGATCATCTGTATAATGACATATTTAAAATTGCATATTTTGCACTTTTAAGGCTGGATTTCGATTCTAATAGCCTAAAATTAAATGTTCGTATCAAATTACCTTTATTACATATACATAGGTATATATAAAATATTCATTTCATTTTATTATTTATTTCTATATGTATTAAATTTATACTTAAAAACAGGGGTGTACAATCCATGGTCTGCATGTTACTGTGTGGTACACGGAAGGAATTGACATGTGGCCAGTTTTAAATTTTTTGTTTTTTAAAATAACATTTTAGAGTTCACTTTTTTTAATGAAAGGGTATTTTTGAATCTACATGTTTAATATAACTAACAAAATTACTGTCCAAATACATACATTTTACTTTATAAACACTAGTGTAATTTGGGGTAGTATATTAATTTTCATTTTTATTTTTATTTTATTCCAACATACTAATTTAAAATAGGTACATTAAGTCAGAGCTTCTTATTATCATAGTTGAGTTATTAACGGTTCCAAAAAATATGTGTGTATTGTAGTTTTAGAATAATGTTCATTGCTGAATTACAATTAGTTTTTTCTAACCTTATTGCACTATGTATCTAATTTTAATTCATAGGATGTTATTCTAACACAAGGTTAAATAAGGTTTTAATTTTTTTAATTTTATAAATTAAAAAAAAAACATGATTTCTGCTTTTATATGTTATGTGCACAATTTTATACTTTTGGGGTTTCCATTAGACATTTGTCATTTCTTTTTACTGCACCAAAATCTGGTCTTTAATAATAATAAAATTAAGTTTTATGTTAATATTTTAAATCCCTAATTGGTTAAACAATTTGATTTATTTGACTGTTTTTAGTTAAAATTAATTTTATATATTTTTAGGCATAAGCAGTGGTGCTCTCGTTGGTGGTGTGATTGGTGCTAGGAAACCTGTTTATGACATTTGGGGAAATACTGTGAATGAAGCTTCAAGAATGGATTCCACAGGAAAAATGGGAAGAATTCAAGTGCCTAAACATACTGCAATGGTATGTAGAATGGATATATGTACAGTACACAACATTTTTTTTTTCTAAAGAATGTTTTATGAAAGTAATGGGTTTCCATAAGCCTTTAGTTGCGTGGAGCCTGAATCAAGGTCATGTTCTGTGTGCGCGGGGTACGGGTGTCATGGCTGGCCCGAGCCATTATAGAGCTTTATACTATCATAGAGCTTTGCGCATCTAAAGGATTAATCTAAATTTTTGGAGCCTTTTTACATATTTTTCTTTCTAATGCCCATTTATACAATTAAGTTTTTTCATCGTCTTGAAGGAATCTACTTTGGTAAAAAAACTTGACACTTTTAGTCATAATTTAAATTTACAGACAGCAAATATTTTTAGATTAATACAACTCTTGGCAATTTATGGGAGGGATATAAATGGTGTCTCTAAAAACTATTTATTTATTTTTTTGATCAATACTTGCTTTTCTTAACATAATTAGTCTGAAAAAATAAACAAAAGTTTAATATCGCAAAGCAAATAAATAATAAAAACAAAATATTGTTAAATTCCTTTTTTTTATTTTATTAAAAAATATTAATTTTTATTGTATTCTTGAAAAAAAAAATTTTTTATTTCCATGTGAATATCATCTTTAATTTTAATATTTTTTTCTTATCTTGTATTTACTCACCTTTCTTGTAAAAAAATGAAATCAGCTCATATGAATTAAAATATTTACTCAAAAAGAAATGCTTCCTTTTGCAAATAATTTATTATTTGTGCTCCCTTATTTTCTAAATGTTTACCTGTTTCTACATATAAAAATACTTTCCAGAATGGTCATGTTTAAATTCATGTATGTTTATGTGTTTACTTTAGAAACGTTGCCAATATGGCGGTGAAATGAAAATAAATGTGAAAAATACAGCCTTCCTTTCCAGATTTTTTCTGACATTACTTATTCCAACTCCTCTTTAATTATCACAATTTAAATTTTTGGCAAGAAGTCATTATAATGTATAATGTATAGTCGACTCGCAATAATTTGAACCTTGATAATTCGAATTTTTTGACAATTCCAACTCTTCAGCTGTTAACTTCGGTAAATTGAAAAGATGCTGTATTTTGATAGCCCGGTAACTTGAAATCCTTTTTGTAACAAGAGGGAGAGAACAATATATAATTCAAACTAGACCACTTCTACTCTTTCTTTCTTCTTTTAAGCTGCCCTTGGCTTGCTTCTTCTTCTACTTCCACTCTTTATAACTCAAAATTTTCCGAGTAATATTTTTTACATAGGCTATTTATATATATAAAATTTATGTAAGCTCATTGATATTTTCAAAAATATAAAAAAACTCTAAATAATTAGAATTTTTTTCTTTCCTCTTGCTAATTCAAACTAATTGATAACTGGAAGTCTCAATAATTCGAATTTTTCTGATACTCTCTTGGATTTCAAATTATCAATACTCTACTATTTACTTCAAGTTAGACATATGTTTCTTCAACTTTTTTCTATTTTGTCTTAATTCTTTAATTTTTTTTTTTTTTTTATTCGTTAATGCTCTAGATGCTGATTGCAAGAGGTTATTTGATGGAATATCGAGGATTCGTTCCTGTCAAAGGAAAAGGTGAAATGGAAACCTATTTTGTTCTCGGAAAAGAAGAAAAAATACAGGAGACAACATCTAAGCCAACATTTCAGCATGCTTCTCTTGCTGCAGTTGTCTATGGAATGGTCCAAGCCAGAAGGCGACATCTTACAATGAAACGTTCAAACCGTAAGGCATTTCAATTTGTGTTGATTTTTTTTTTTTCTTTTAATCTCTTCTATTTTGAATTTATCTCTTTATTTATAACAATGAAATTACTGTCAGTCTTTTCAATAAAAACAAACAAGCAAAAAACTCAACTATTTTTTTTAATTTCAGAGCTTCGAATTTAACCACAACATGATTGGAAGTTTTTGTTACTGGTACAATTTTTTTTATTTTATTTTTTTTATTTTTCCAGCAGCTCATGCTTATATTCCAAGTAACAGTATTAATCCAGTCACACCCTTTGGTCCTCTCAGGTCTCTAATGACTTGCATGTAATATTAATATTATTGGTGGTTATTATGCTTTGGGATCATTGAATGGTTTATTAACAAATGTTTCCTTCATACATGTTCTAATCCAGGAGTGCCCAACCCAAGGGACAATGTGGCATACTAAGGTTTCGAGATTGGCACGTGGCCGTCCAGTAGGTTTTTCATTATTTTTTTTAATTCTTAATTTTTTTATTAATAAAAAAAATCAAGTTCTTTTTCTGTGATGAAATAGTATTTCAAACTCTATACATATGTTTTATTATAAAAATAATAGTGATAATTTTTTTAAATTATTTAGCTATAAACTAAAAATTTGGAAAAGATGAAAAATATTTTCAAAAACAAGCGCCTATATTATATACATATTATCGTTAATTTGGTAGGGATAAACAGGGAGGGGCGGTACAATTGTAGCAATCCTCAATAAAGAAACCATTGTTTGCGGCATGCATTATAAAAAGGTTGGACACTCCTGTTATATATTAATTTAAAATACAAAGGTAGTTTTAGATATTAACAAAATTTTAACATGCATGATAAACTTTCCTAATTAACAAATACATTAAGTTTTTATAAACATTTTCTGATTATTTTTTTTAACTACAGGATGCCTCAGTTATATATTTTTACATTTATAATAATCAAAGAAATTCTCTCTAGTGAATCATGTTTCATTTTTTTTTTTTTTTAATCATATTTTATTTTGTCTATTTAACAACAAAACTTATCTCTCTCACTGTTTATTTTTTAAATAATTATTTAGTATTATAATTCACATTGGTCATCAACACTATCAATTTCATCATATTTTCTAGTTTGTAAACATAAGGGGAAAAAACAAATTTTGCTGTGTACTTTATATGTTTGAAGGCTTTTAATTGAATTCATAAACAAATGTAATACTTACTTACAAACCAGTGTTTTAACTAGTTGCACCATTGAAAAATATCAATTATTAGAGAAAAAATTTACTTTCTTATGATGCAGACTTGCCAGTTTAATCTTTAGTCTCTCTAAAATACACCTTGAATTAAAATTAAAAATTATCCTAAAATTAATTTGCTCCAATAGTCAACAAAGTATATTTTTGACATGTATTGGTGTAGTTGAACTTTCATTTATCAAAAAAATTTTACAATCAGATTTTTATCATAAATTTTGAATTTTTATTTTGAAAACCATTCTATATACCAAACATTGAGGATCAACCTTGGGGTCAGGAGACCCATCTTGGGCACACCCAGCCTCTATAAAGTGGGTACTTCTGTTGCGTATGTGACCTTTGAGTATGTTCCTGGACCTATCACTTCTCTGTACAACCATTGGCCTTGAAACAGTACTTTATTACACAGTACTGAACCCAAGACCCTTCATGGGTTGTAGTGGTATAGGTTTATATACCAAACATAAATTTTAATATTTAAAAAAATAAAAAGTGTTACGTTATACATTTAGAATTTCAATAAAGATATTTTTTTCTTTAACACATAAAAACTCTATCTAATACTAAAAGTTTTAATTATAACTATTTTTAGTATGTACAACATACTGTAAGCAATTAGGATAGAATTATATATATTTGTAACAGGAAATATAATTATAATATGTAGGAAATAATAATTATAATAGCCATTAAATAGCTAAATTGAGACTGTAATGGTTGTCATTTTGGGGTTGCACCCAGTCCTCTCAAGTTAGAAATCATGCCTGGTTAACACTTAGTTGACCGGAAATTTCAAACAGAAACTGTCGTGTAACCAGTTATTATTGTGTTATTCAAGTGCTATGACGAGTTTAATCATCATTAGTACACAACGTCTGGTCATGAAAAGACGAGTTAAATCTTCATCATTCAACAATGCGTTAAATCTGATTTTAATGGACTGATTTCATTTTGTGATAGATTTATAGAATAAATTTCAAACTTTCTTTCTTCTCTCGCTGGAATAGATTGAAAATACATAAAATAATCCCTTCGTCCTACCCTAATTGCAGTCAATAAACAAATGATAATTAAATAGGCTTATTTCATAATCTTAATTGTTTGTGATTAACATATATGTACTGAATAATTTTGACTGATTTATTAATTTATTTTCCTGAATTTAATTAGATTATGGTCAATTAAGCCGTTAACTAGCCGTACCGTCTGATGCACCTGTCAAAAAGCAATTAAATCCTAATGTTTAATTTTTGTTCTCAACTATGTAAAATATTTGTGGTTCCTATACCTAATTAAAACCTTACCAATACCCACCAATTGGAAAACTGCCGTAGCAAAAAATATGAAATTATGATTATGCACCTAGTTTGAACAACCTCTACAAATGGGATGCTCCTATACACTTCACAGTAACGTTGTACTCCCTAGGATTAGAAACTTTAATAAATTTTTACTCTATTTTTGTTTTGATATTATTATAGTCAGCACTGTCATAGTCCTGAATAAATTTAAATCTCTAAAATTAGTTTATGTGTCCATTAATAAACCTATAAAAGCCTTAGCTTAAGTTGTTGATTTTAATTTATTCAATCGTATTTATTCATCTATTTACATATCTCCTAAGATAAATATTTTGGCTTTTTGAGGTTTTACTTAATGAATTCTCTGTTTTGATTAATCCGTTTGCCAATTAATATGAACATATTAATTTTAGATGGAGGAAGCACTCTGAGTCGAACCAAGTCACAGCAAGCCACTCCTCTCTCATCAGGACATCGACTTGTCAATTTCAGCAGTTTCCGAATCTCGAAACCCTCCCCTTCCCCTCTTCGACGCAATACAACTCGTGCAGGTCGGCAGCTCAGTCAGCCTATTGGAGTTCAATGCAATCGTCAACTTTCTGTTGATCCGACACTTCTTCACTCAGCTCCTGATACTCGAAATACCTCTCCTAATCTTTCACAGGGTAATGTGAGGTCTATATCTATGAACTTCAGTAACTCATCAGAACACAGTAGATGATAGGCCTTCTTATAACGGTTGAAAATTTTTAGTTTATTGATTATGTATATTTGTACTTAATGCTTTATTTAAGTCATTGTTGATCTCGTTGTATTTTATACTTTCATTTGAATGAATCAGTGAATGAGTGTGTTTTAGACTTTGTATTTATGTTAATAGTTATTATTTATTTATTATTTTTTAAATATTTTGATTAAATTGATTGTTCTTTGAGGTTTAAAGGAAAGTGAATGTATGTTATGGCCTTCGATTCACAGATCTTTTAATTATAAATATACTAGTTATAAAAAAAATTTTTAAAATGTATGACTCAAAATATTATTTTTGTTTTTCTCAAAAAATAGTAGTCATAAAGTTTCTCTTTTGTTGATTTTATCTTTTGATACTTTTAAATTTTAATTTCATAACATTGCCAAAAATTGTTAATATTGTTGTTATATACATTAATGATGTGAAATTGAGTTCATTTTATTGACACTATTTATGATGCATTATTTAAAATATTTGAAAAGTCGATTAGTATATTAAGAATATTTAATGAAAGTAAGATTATTGTAGATTTTAAATATGGACCATTAATCTAATCATTGTAGGAGAACATTTTGGTAAAAGTTCACATTGATCTCAGTTTTTCTTTTTTACATGAAATACAAACTTAGGAAAATCACTTATAAATCTAATTCTGATTTTATTTTGAGATAATACTTTTCAGCTGTTAATATGTCATATATTTTCCATTACATACAATAATCTTAAAGTGCTTTATTGTTAATGTTATAAAACAAATAATCTCCAATTTTTACATTATATAAACTTATCCTTAAGATATATTAATGAAAGACTGCATTATTCATATTTGTATACACTCAATAGTATTAATAGTTTTTGAATGAGTCAGTAGATAATTTTAAGTAATATCTTTAAGATATTCTACTTTGTATACAAAGTGTTCAAATGAATATTTATTCTATTATTTATTGTTATGTGTATATATGACCAAAAGTCATTGTATTAATGATATAGTTTTTGTGGTAAATTGTAAATAAAATATTTGTTCTATGCTGTCATGTAAAGCAAAATCATGAAATTAATTTAATTAAAATATTTTTATTTATTTTGCATAAATTATTTTACTCCCGTATGAATTATGTTTCTAATATGAGCAAATTCCAAAGAAAGGATCATAGAGCAAAAGGAGAAAAAAAATTATTTTATTTAAACTCTTATTGCCTTACTTGAATTTATGAGTTAGTACAAATATGCTAGGTAATTTCACAGCCACATTGCAAAATTTTGTAATTACGATTTTATTAAAAAGTGCTGTTTTCAGCGTTTCTGGTCAACCTTGACTTTGTTTGTATTCAGAAATACAAACTTAATATGTTATTTCAAACATTACATGAGCATGCAGGCTTACAATTTAAATTGAACAAAAATTCAAATCCATAAAATAAGAAATAGACTGTTTACTTCCCCTGATGAATAACTATAGTTTTTGCATTTACATGCTTTTTCAGTGATGATGTAGAATTACTCAATGGAAAATTTTACTTTTCGAGTGCGTAATCCAAACTTAAGGTTGTTCAAGGATTTAATATTAATACATAAAATTAATTTTTAGTTCTTAAGAAATTTCCTTTTAAATTGTGGTTAATGTGATGTATTATAACCTTAATATGATTAAAAAATCAATTTATTCGTGGCAAGGAACTGATTTCTTGCAATAGTCAAATCATCGCAGTCTATGATATCAGCATATTTGTTATATGTATATGATATATATGAGGGTATCTGATGGATATGAGCATATCTAAAAGCTGGAATAAACTTTATTTTGCACCAACATTGTAAGTGTAAGTGAGGCCTGAAAAGACTGAAAATGCAATCTTTCTAGTGTTAACTTTTGTAGCAAGTATTGCTATGTTAACCAAAAGCATCCAGGTCTACTTGAAATTTTTATCGAAATTAGCAAAAAGTGTGGTGTGCCAAATTAATTTGACCAAATTTTATATATGTATTCAATATAAATTTTATTTTCTAGAATATTTACAATATTCAGGAATTTTGTTTGTCTCTGAAACATTTAATATTTTATGAACGGACTGTGTAATATCAATTTAAATATAAAACACTATTATCTTTCTGATTTGTCTTTACAACATCGAACAATCGAATAATAGAATACAAATAATCAGTTAAATACCATTCATCATAAACAAGGTCATTGGGTTTGTCATTAAAAGAAAATTATTACAATATTATATCCAAAGGAAGATAGTCCGGGTTGCAGTAAGAAAATCCTTGAGGTGATCAAATCATCAAGGAAATTACTGGTTGGTTAAAACTAGTAAATCTTCTTCTAGATTTACTATAGTGTCAACTCTTAATATGTAGCATAAAAATATCATTTATAGTAATTATTTGATTTAATTTTAATGAAACTTCAAGTTTGTCAACAAATTATCAGGTTCACAAACATGCGTTTTCGTAATGTATTTCAATATAATATTCTTCATTATATATTTAGAATGTCTTATTCTAACTAATAGTCAACAAAATTTGATTCTAATGCAAATCAGTTAGTGAAATCTGGATAGATCTGTAAAAATGATTTTCTATATTATTAACCTATTTGCATGTGTATTTTAAAACATATTGGACAATTCAGTCATATTAAAATAACTAAATAATTTTAATCCTTAAAACTCTATTTATTAAACTTTACTGTCATAAATCATACAGAAGTTTTTAAAAAATAGACAACTAAGTTAAAAGAGAAAGATTGTTATGGTTCTTTAAAAATAAATTTCACAAGTTTTATTTTTTTGTAAAAACATATTTTTTTTTTTTAATATCAGGTGAAGTGACCTCTTTACTCCACAGTAAGGGTGCATTTCCTTTTCATGCTGTTTATAATGCTATGATAGTTTTCATAGACAATTCCTTCTTACTCCTTAGTGAAAAGTTTTGCAGTTTTTAGAGGGCTCAGAATTAAGTCATATTAACCATCTTTGAACTGTATTCATTATTTGTTTGATTTTTATGTTTGGTTTATGTCTAGAATACAAGGAGATAGAGTAAGGTGACCTATTTCTAAATTGTCTATCATGTCAATGACTTGATATGGCTGAGCATTATAATCTACATATATATGTAAAGCAAATACATTGGCAAATTAAAAATCTCTCATAGATGGCTGGTATACACTTATAATTTCCTCTAAGACTTTAGAGTAATTTTTAATATTTTTTTTCTTAAGACACGGTAATATTTTACCATTTTGGAGGGGGCATCAGCGTGAAAGCCCCTCCCCTCCCCCGTAGATCCGCCTGTGTTCATGATGGGTAAAAGAGAGATAGGATGGTAAGAGGATGAGTGTTAGGGTGGCTTTTTAGCCTCTTATTTATAATCCAAGGAAAATGTAATCCCTAGGTGTAAGATTTTCACAATAGACAGTTTCCAACGGTCAGGAAAGTAAGTATCGATTCGATCGGGATAGAAGTATAGCATTATATATATAAGTAAAAAATAGAATAGCTTTCCAAGGAAGCAGTTTTAGGATTTGGGAAGTAATAAATATGTCTGTCCAGGAGTGGGCGGGGTGGCCGAATGGGCTAACGCATGTGCACTGCACCGCCGTTGCCGGCAACCTGATAAATGAATCAAAGATATAAAAATAGACACGAGTTCGCGTCCAGGTGCCAGGGGAGTCTTTTAAATCCCCGCTCACACCCCCTGGCCCGGGAAAATCCCGTATAGCCTTAACGGCGAGGAAGGGAAGGACCAAAAAAAAAAAAAAAACCTTAACGGCGAGGAAGAGAAGGACCAAAAAAAAAAAGAAAAAAAAAAGTGTCCAGGAGCTTTGCTGGAAGGTAATCTGTTAATGATATAGAATATTTTAATGGAAGGATTAAAGGATCGAATTAATGGAAGGATGAAATACTTTAGGTGGAAAATCGTAACTGTTTTTTGGTCTTCCCTTTCCGCGCCTTTAAGGCTATACAGGGTTTTCCCGGACAATGTGATGAGGGCGGGGATTAATGGCAGAACTAAAGACTCCCCGCGGCACCGGGACGCGAACTCGTCACAATTTTTATATAGTTATCTTATATATCAAGTTTTCGAGCAACCGCGGTGCTGTGCACACGGGTTAGACCGTTCGGCCATCCCGCCCACAAAGAACATGGTGGGACCAGACTTAAACCGGGAATCTTCGCTGTGTGATAACTGTATGCTAGCCACTACACTATGAAGGCTCTTTGGAAAATCCTAACTTAAATACTATTTCTGAATTCAATGTACCTAGTTTGAAAATAAGTATTATCTGTCAGGGTACTTTGATTGTCCCCCATATTGGCACCGTTTTATAAATGTTATCACTATTGGCATAACAATCACTCTGTAGCTGATAATATTCTGATATCATAAGCTGCACAGCTGAGAAACAGTTTAAGTACAGTTTTGTTTCATTCCTGATAAATTTTATGGATGAGTTCAATTCAAATCGACTTTCCTTATGTAACTTAATAGGTTTTAATTGGTCCCTCGAGAGTCTTGAATAAAGCAGTTATAAGAAAAATAAGTGTAAGTAAAAATATCTTATGTTTTATTCATCAGTTCGGAATAAATTGGGTTGCCAAATAAGTCCTTTTAGTTTTTCAGTTTATTGTTATGTCACTATGATACACTTATTATCCGATGAATTAATCCCTAAAGTGGATTGTTTTTCCAGTTTGTAATATGTCAATAACTATATCTGTTAATTCTTGTTGAAACTAGCTTAGTATTGTGTTTGCTATTGCACTGTGAATATGGAAGAAATATCATTCATTATCGGCATATTTTGTTGTGTTATTTTAAAAAAGGTAAGCGTACTGCAGAAGCTCATAGAAATAATTGCACTGCTTATGGGGATGATGAATTGACTAAACGCACCGGTCAAAATGGGTTTGCCAAATTTCATTCAGGAAATTTTGACATCAATGATGCTCAACGGTCTGGTCGCCCACGTGAAATTGAAACGAGCAATGTTAAGGCCATTGTTGATCAAAATCCCACCCAATCAGAGCGAGAGATTGATATGGCCCTAAATGTGTCTCACACAAGCGTAGAAAATCATTTACACCATCTCGGCTATATTTCCAGGCTTAATGTTTGGATCCCTCACATGGTTTTTTTTTTTTTTTCGGAAATCATAAAAAATGTCACTTCAATAAGACATTAGAAATATAGCAGAAATTTAGAGCTACATAAACTACACAAAATGACATCAACAGGACCTTCGTAAATAAACTACAAATGAAGATAAAAAGTAAAAATCTATAAGGAGTTTTTGTTTATTTATTCCTTACGTAGGCATTAAATAAAAAAAAACATTCATACGCCACTGAAGAGCAATTATTTAGCTTTCCAATGGATATAGTAACATCGAATTTGGAGATCATTCTGAAGGGGCATGAATGATCGGAAGGGTGTTGTGTTTCACCAAGACAACGCTAGGCCCCACACCTCGTTGGTCACTCGCAATAAATTTTTGAGTCTTGGATGGGATATTTTCCCACACCCTCCCTATTCACCAGACCTAGCTCCAAGTTATCAAATAATTGATAGTTAAATGATACAAAGATCGATTATTTAGAAAATAAATCAAATTTTCTTTTGTAAAAATAAAAATAAAAATTCTCTATGCTCGGTCAGAAATAGACAGGGGCGGATCAAGGGGGTAAGCTTTCCGACTGAAGCCCCTCTAAATTTGAAAAATATAACTATGTCTTATGAAAAATTATCTCTAAATGTATTATTGTTGGTGTGATTACGTTTTAATAGGACTTCAAGAATCACTTAAACATCATTTCACATACCTTAGGTAGTAAGATCCTTTTTTTTTTCTTCTAGAATAATTATCATCATATATGCATATGTGAGTGAAAAAAGCTTTTGGGTTCGTTTTTACGAATGTTGTCGAAGAATTTCTTCTCTGAATAAGAAAGTATATCAGAATGAAAACAACCAATTTATACATGTTTTCTAACACAAACGCTTCTCTAATGTTCTCTTTAAATGTTAATATCTTTAATATAAATTTAATTAAAAATATATATATATAATCCGAAA